GGCGCGACTTTTTGGGCAAGTGGAAGAGCTGTAGCGGCAGACCTGGGTGGACAACAGCAAGTGGTGAAGGCAGACGACAGCACGGGGACATCGCTGAGGGCGCTGCTTTTGCTTCACGGCTTATGGAAATCAGACAAAACCTTGAAGAGCTTATGGAGGTTTCCCTGACGGTCCGACGGCGCAAAGTGGACACGAAAAGGGAGAAGAGATAGGAGAAGGGAAAGGGTCAACAACGTGGCCTGGAGTTTGCGACGGCGGAGATCTGAGGGGATGTCTGGACGCCGTCCAGCTTCCTGAGCGGGCGGGTTGGCACGAGAGTGTGGGAAAAAGAGTGCCAGTGTGCAGAAAAGGGACAGGTGTTGGAGAGCGGCGGCGTGGCGCAGCACGGTCCTGGCATGGGTGTGTGTCTGTGTCTGTGTGTGTGCGCGTGTGTGGAGACGCGTGGTGGTGGCAAAGTTGCCTGGCGGTTGCGGCTTGGAGAACGGCTGTCTTCGCGGCGACGGCGACGGTGCGGCGAGGCCTGGGATGGATTTTGGGGCATCGTGGTCTTGGAGGTGTAGCTGCGTTTGTGTGTGCGTAAGCAAGGGACACGCGTTGGCGATCGCTCGCGGGAAGCACTTGGAGCCTGCAGCCGCAAGGGGTAGCGGAAGGCCGTGGAGGAAAGAAGGTGCAACCAAGGAACGGCATGACGGCGGCGATGAGCATGAGCAGGGCGGACAGGACACTGAGAAAAGGCCTTCAGCGCAAAGGGAGATGGACAGGACACGCGCAAGTATATGATGTGTTATATATGGCCGAGGTACAGTACGCGGGGCGGATTGACGGCGCGGAGGAGTTGGAGAATGGTCACGATTGTAGTGCGCGTCGAGGTCCTGGCAGGTAGCATGAAGAGTTCCAAGATCAAGAAGTGGGCACGTCGCGCCTGCGCAAGTTGGCTCTGGTTGTGCTTGGACCATACATGCTGCGCCAGACTCCACAAATTTTGGCCACGGATGTCTTGGTCGCAAATGGGGCAGTAATCACCGCGAAGGTTGTCCATGGCGGGGCACAGACGAAGGAACGAGAGGGGTATATAGAGTAGAGTCGAGAGAATGCACTGGAGCCGAGAGTGCTTCACGTGGGCATAAGTCCTGAAAGCACAGCTGTGCACTAGGAAAAACAACATGTGTAAAAAGCTGGCAGGTCGGTCCAGGACGAGGCGCAGGACGTAGTCGAGGGACAACATGGCAGGACAGCACAGGACAGTGACAGGCGGCGGGTTGCACGGGCGACTGATCAATAAGGTTGTGGGGGTGTGAAGGTTTTTTTTTTGCGAGCGTGGTTGATGCGTGGATGCATGATATCTGTTTGAGAGGGTGCTGGTGCCCAGGTTGGCGCGTAGAGGCAATGCGGTTGGAAAGGTATTGGTGTAGGTGCGTTGGCAGAAAAGGGTGTGTGTGTGTGTGTGTGCGTAGTATGTGTGTGTGCGTGCGTCGATAGGAGCTCTGGTGGGCAGGGGACGGACTCAAGGAGCACAGTCGTAGACGAGCATATAAAGGTTTGGCTGGAGCAAGTGGCTTGGCGGGGCAGCGTGCGGTGGCAGGCTGTCGTCACGGAGGGCAGGTCCAGTGTGGAAATGGGTTATGGCGGTGTAGTGTCCTTGATCTGGCGTGCCAGAATGGTAGATGGCAGCTCGGATACGGTACTGGGTAGAGCATCCAGGTGGGTTTAAGGTTTCTGTGAAGGGAGGACGTTGGTCAAATGGGTTTGGAGCCCAGCGGTTGATGCAGAAGATTAAAGTGGATGGCCAAGACTCCATGCTTAGAGATATGGAGCGGCCATTGTCAGCAGTGCATGTGGGGCACCGGCTTTCAGGTAGAGGGTCTGAAGTCCGGCGGCAGTCCTGGAAGATGGGACGGGTTGGGTGGACATGCACGAATGTATGTAAATGGCGAGAGGCTGAAGAGGTATTGCAATTTGCGCAACGCAGGGTTTGCAGCTTAGGTGCACCGAAGCAGCGCCAGATTGGTAGATGGAGTTGGTCGTTCAAGTCGCCGGTGTGGAGCGGCGACCGAGAGCGTTCGCAAGTTTCAGCTGCAGCCAAGAGTTTGGAAAAGGTTTCTGTTACATCGTGATGCTGGTTGCCAGCAAGTTGGGGGCACCAGTGGGCTCGGGAGGATGCGATGCTGGGCAAGAACGCCGGCAGGCTGCATGTGTCAAGGGTTGCGAAGTCAGCGTGGAGCAGTGGGACTGGGCACGCAGGATGCGTGCATGTACGGGCATGGGCGGCCACCCAAGTTTGCACGACGGGGGAGGCATGTAAAGCGAAGAGGAGGGCGTTGAGGTAGCAAGTGTTGTCTGTGTTGAGGAGGCCTGTGCTCGGTGGGGCTGCGTGCATTGGGATGACGCTGGGCGCCTGTTTGCCGCGGCAACGCTTCAACGGGGGCTCCAGGGCGCGCGATGGATTGGTCCCGGAAGCAGCAGGGCATGCGGCAAAGTAGGATGCAAGGCCTCGAAGAGCAGGTGAGGATTGGAGCAAAAATTTGAGGGCGCGCGCTGTGGTGTCGTTTTCTATTTGATGCAAGCGACGTAGTTCGGTGGAAAGGAATTCTGGTGGCCCGCATGTGAAAGCTTCGCGGGGCGCGTTGCGAAGGAGCAGAATGGCGTCCAGGCTATGCGCTCGGGACAACATGACATATATTGCAAGCCAGTGCTTTTTGGGGTCTGTGCGTGGCGGGGCTGCCAAATCGAGCAGGGTGGCTTGGAAGCTTTCCCCTTGAGCAGCGTACACGACGTTGCACTGTGCAGGCAGCACGGCAAAGGACGTTCGACGCACTTTCAAGTCGTGACCGGCATACTTGAAATTGAATTGTTCTGCGTCTGGCGCCAGCAGGAAAACACCAACGTAGGACTGAAGCGGTGGAAAATGCGACAGACAAGTTTGCGGCAGCGTCCATGCAGCACCTACGAGACGGAGGAGGAGGTACGAGGGCAAGAACTGCAAGACATGGACATCACCAACGAAAGCCAAGTTTTGGCGGTCGTGGGGATGCAGTTGCATGTCAACGATCTGGCACAGAGCGCCTTTCATGATGCCCAACTGCAAGCAATTTTTCCCACCAGTCAGACGGACGTAAGCCCCGACGTGTAGGGGCAGGATACCGGGTAAGCTGCCTGTGTGTCGAATGTTGGCAATCGCTAAAAAATGTTTGTGGGCGTTGGCCAAGTCCAGTGCAGGCGGCGGCGACACAATTGTATCCAGCGCTTGGAGGACGCAGAAGAGTTGTCGAGTTTCTATGCTGCGCTGTAGCGTTTGCGCATAGGCAATGGGAGCGCGGACGGCGTGTCGCGAGACGATGCATTGACAAGCAGATGTGAAGGGAGGGCGTTGGAGGCGCGGGTCGGGCTCTCCAGAGTGTGTGGGTTGTATGAGCCGTGCGCAGAGTGCTGCCCAAAGATCATCGGTCAAGGCTCCGTCTCGCATTTGCTGGAGCAGACGCGCGAGCTGGCCGCTTGAGCGCATGTTCTCGTTGAGATTGATGTGCGTTGTAACGCCCTGCCAGACGGCTTGCCCCAGCGCGGTTTCGCCATCAGTTGCGCCAGCAGAAGTTGGGTCCGCAAGTGATGGCATTCCGACCGGTGGCAATTGTAGGAAATCGCCGGAGAGCCATGTCCAGAGGCCACCGAAGGGCTTAGATGATTGCAAGGCCTCTTGGCATCGGACATTAATCTGGTGTAGTTGTTTTGGCGATGTCATCGAAATTTCGTCGACGCAATGGCCAATTTTGCCGCGCCAACGTTGTCGGTGGGCGGCAAGGCGTTGGGAAGTCATGCGACCGCGTCTGCTGGTAAGGGTGGTGCGTGGCAGCTTGTGCAAGGCGTGGATTGTGTCGCCGCGGATGAGACGGGAAGCGGTGATGGTGGGCGCGGCTTTGTGCAGGCAGTCGCCAGCAAAGTGATGGAAGAGTTGCTCGATGACCAGAAGAAGGGTTGTCTTGCCCGAGCCAGCCCCGCCAGTAACGAGCAAGATATTGGTAAAGTCTGGTGGGAGCGGTTCAGGGTCGCGGGAGTGGCTCTGGGCCACGTGGTTCTGGAGCCAGAGGCCTGCAAGGATTAGACCGCGAGCTTGCTTCAGATTCAGTTTGGCGTCTGCCGACGCTGAGAAGGCACCCTTGTCGAGGAGCCACTGAACGGCTTCGAGGACGCAGGAGTTTGGGTGCGTTTGTTGACGTTTCAGCAGTGACCATTTGGCCAGGAGGTCATGAACGCGCGCTTGGAACATGGACTTGCTCGGGGGCGGCAGGGGGGGCAGCAGCATCCTGGGTAGCAGCACTGTCGAGAGCATCAAAGAATTTTTGTTGGAGCTTCAAGGCGCTAGTTGGGACGGATGGGTGGGAACTTGTGGGGAGCTCAGGAATCTCAGGAGAGATGTGGTGGGAGGTAGGACTGAGGTTGTGTTGCGTCAAGATGTTGTAGACGCCATCGAAATATTGCTTGTCGCGCCCAGTGAGTGTATCGGAAGTGGCCAAGCCAAAGAAGCAATGCGTAGCAGGGCCCGCGCTGATGTTTCCACAAGGGATGCCGGCAGGCGGCGGCCCTGGCAATGGCTCGTCGCCTGTGCGGGCGTCCGAGGATGGGTCGAGAGGCTCCTCAGGGAGCTCATTGGAACTGCATGACCCCGCTAGGCTTTCTTTGGACGAGCATGGCCCTGCTTGACTGTCTTGTTCGGAATCTGAACTGCTTGCAGGATCAGCGGAGCAGCGAGGTTTCTTGAAGACTTGATGGTCGATATGCGCTTTGGTGAGCTCGTAGTCGCGCAACTTCTCATACGTTAAGCATTGCCACCACTGTGGTGTTCCAGGGTGGACATGCGTAGTGCTGTGGGCAGCTATTACCCATGCTTCCCGCAGCTCGGCGCGCCACGCGACGAAGGCGTCGTGGAGCGCAACCCAGAGGTCATCGGATGTGGCGGTTTCAATGCACGACAAGAAGGGGGATGACCACGCTAAGACTGCTGCGCCGGTGTGACGCCACGGACGAAAGATTAACATGGCCGCTAAGGCGTACTCACCCTTTTCTAGTGCATCTCCTCCCTCTGTCGGTGTCTGTGTTGGGCCGCCAAAGATTTGCGGGAGCCGCCACGGCGTATCAGTGTGAAAGCGGCGGTAGTGGTCGTACTTTCGAAGGGGCTCCTCGGTGAAGGGATCCGTGAGAGGCGTTCCGCGATACTTTTGGCTCATGGTGCAGAGAAAGCGGGGATCTGTGCTCCGTCGCAGATAGCACGGATGCGTAGCCATTTGGCCGTGGAAGTCTACCAGAGTTGGCCACAGCCAACCAGTCTCTGGGGGCGTGGTGACCACGGTGGTGGAAGCCGTGAAAAAATAGAAAGATAAGGTTTCTAGACTGCGCGGTCGCCACGGGTAGTCGTACGCCACGTAAGTGGGCGCGGTGGAAGCTGGCGGGGGGTCGGTTGGCACGGCGGCGTCGGGCAACGTTGCTTCGACGCAGGGCGGGCAATCCACAGCAGATCGCGTGGTGACAGCAGCTTCGGCTTGCCGCAGATGCAAATGCAATTGCAAGGGCACGAAATCATGGGAACAGTAGTAGGTCGGCTTCCCTAGCAAATAAGCGTAGATTGTTTGGAAGCCTAGGCGGTGGCGTTGGTTCATGGCAAAAATCATACGCGCGAACAAGCGGCGGGCGTTCTTTGCGGGGTCGCCAGCACTTGTGCTCTGGGCACGGGTTTCGGCAGCTAGAATCCGGTCGCATTTTGTTTTGGCGTCGTGCAGCGCATGCAAAATGCCTTGGCACGGGTCCGACCCCTCTGAAGATACCCAGCGCAATAATATTCGTGCGCGCTGATAGCATCAATCATGGCTCGCAATGCGTCTGCGCGAGAGGTGAACAGAGTAGGATCGGGGAAGCGGAAAAGTATGCCTAAGTCGTGATTGCAGGAAGGACCGAGTAAGATGCCTGGCGTCATTTTGTAGTGAAACGGACCTTGCCGTTCCAATGCTGGAAGGCCATTGTGAGGCGGTTCTTGAATCAGTGGGGGTTGACCGACACCGGACCAATGGCTTGCCAGAGGAAGACCATGAGCACGCCGGAGTTTAGGCGCGCCTGCTTTGGTGCA